TTTGGTTACTGATGAAGATTGAATTGTGATCAAAATAACTGGCAATTTTCCAATATTATTATTCACAATATTACTATTGCCAATAACTCCAGTAGCAGCCATTACCATGGCTGCATGTGTGTCATAGATGTACATACATCTACATGTACAATGCATGTATTTAATTTTTTGCACAAAAATAATAAATGACAAACTGTGTTATCTATTGCGCTATTATCATTAGACTGTGTTTCTATATACGGATTATATATTTGTTTAAGGACTACATGTACACATTCATTAACATGGCCATTTGCCCACATTCATTAACATGCATGGCCATTTGTCTACATTCATTAACATGGCCATTTGCCCACAACTGGCCATGTTTATGAATGGCTATATACCATGTTTGTTTATGAAATGGCCATTATGCCGTATATATAGCACTAAATTTTCATCGGTCAAAAATTTTGACAAATTTATCAAGAGTTTTTGCTTGATGAAATTTTTAACCAGCAAAATTTTTGCTCCACATACCGTATAGCTCCTAATTTTTGTCGGTCAAAATTTTTGTCAAATTCGTCAGGTACTTTTGCTTGACGAAATTTTTAACCGACGAAATTTTTGTTCTGCGTGGGTAGTATGCGGATTAATAACAAAAATGACGAAAATTTTATTGACAAAAATCAATTTTAGCAAGAAATTAAGAATTTGACGAAATTTTTGACTGACGAAAATTAGGAGCTATATGGTAGTTAGTGTGTGGATTTATAATAAGAATGACAAAAATTAATTTAAATTAAGATTTTGAATAAATTTTTGATAGCAATTTAATAATTTTTATTCGATTTGACATGCTGTCAAGGAAAATTTAATTGAAGTTTGGGATGTTCACATTCCATCAGGTTGAAGTTTGGGATGTTCACATTCCATCAGGTTAAATTAATTACAGCTACTTAGGGTTGGGAGGTATAGTAACTTTGCACTATTATTGACTATTACTGGCGATATTTTTAATCAGTAATATTAATAGTATTGAATTTGCAGTACCAGGTACAGCTGCAATACACTGCTTTAGAATTTGAATTGTACTATAATACTGGATAAATTTCTTGATTATAAAATCACACAACTTGCTAGTAGGTATGGCTTTTATTTTCATTTTCAAAAGAGCACTAAAACACAACCCACTATTAGGTTCGAGATGTAACTCTACACCATACATCATAGGTACGGTTCATTTTTGTAATTGCTTTGAGGCAATGCTATTGATTGCTATTATTGCTAGGCAGTAATTGTTTTAATCTTACCATCATTGTCATCATCTAGAGGTTCAAATGCCAATCTTGGAATTCTTACAGCCATGTTCGACCTGCAGTTGCTGCTCTACTGTCTAAGACTACTCACACTGGTTACTGACACTCACTGGACTCTTCTAAAACACTCCTTAAAATAATGGCTATCGCACCTTGCATGTACTATTTATAGTATGAGGGGTGTGGCTACTCCTACAGTCATACTCCATGTACATATATATATATATATACTGGTAGAATTGTATTGTGTGACCAGACTCTCCACCCCTTTCTGCATAGCCAGTGTCCATATGAGCACTGGCATTTTATTATTCAGATAATTTTAAAAATTCTATTGATAATGACAACCAACTTGCAATGTTGTTTAAATTATTATTAATTTTGGTCTTCTCTCTTTGTTATCTGTCTGTCCTAGCTGTCATTATTTCCTCCCCAATCTCTCTTTTAGTGTCTCATTCCAATGAAGGTGAATCAGGTCTTGATGATGAATCACAAGATATCACTGGAGGTACATTACACACACACTGAAGTAGTGGGGTAGGAACAAAATTTACAGAGAACAAAATTTTTTATTAATGCCTGCTATAGTTGCTAATATAGTATTCATAAAAAATGCCGGCTTAGGAATGCAGATTGACAACAGTATCTCTTTAAATTTATGATTTGTGATAAATTTTGTGATGTTTTTGTCAACCTGCATTCTAAACTGGCAGTTGTTGTAAGCTTTATTAGCACAATGTGGATCTAATAATGTGGAGTGGAATGAGAGAGGGAAGGAAGCAATTGAGTCCATCTAATATACCTGTAATTATTATTCTTCTCTTCCTTTCAATTTAGTTTTAGAATTTTTTGAATATAATGAGAATGATTCAGACAGTAGTACCAGTGAAAGTGCTAGTCACACCCACCAGGAGCTTGAGGTGAGTAGCTGATTAATAACACAGTCTTTATGTATTGAGTAGTTGCCTAAAGAACCTTTTCAATTACGACAAGAGATTGCTAGTCATTCACTTGAAGTACCTGAATTTGATATTGGCAGTAGTCACAGGTACACACACACACTTGTAGTCATGTACACAGTGACACACATGCATATTACTGTACATGCAAATGTATTATTATACATACACTGGAATATGGCATTGAGCCATTTTGCTTGATAATTTTTAAAATCTTTAGTCATAATTGTTTTGATATTAGACAGGGAAAAATAGAAGAGGGTAGAGAGAAATTTTTAATACCCTCGGTACTGGTCTCTTTTATTATTTATTTCCTCTCTTTCTCTCCCTCTTCTAGTGGTGGTATATCTCACGCCTCCAGTGGTCGTCGCTCCTCACAACACACTCTCAACTTCCCCAACCAATTTATACCAGTACCACATCATTATAACATCACTGTTCATTATATTAACCTTAGGGCTGGACTCCACCTACCTGGGACTTCTCCCCTCAAGTAGCTGAAGTATTGAAGCACTACGCTGGGAAGGTGGGTTAAACTGTAATAGCCAAAATATTGAGTAGAATAAGATCCCATATTATGTGGTTGAAGCTCTTCCCCAAAAATTATTTTACATGTAGTTATTAATACTGTACTTTTGATTTGAGCTACTGTTTTTTCATGAAAACTGTACAAATTTAAATGCAAAATTTATCATTTTTAATTTTAATAATTTATTATTTGTTATTGTTATTACAGGGTGATGTTCAGATGAGTGTTACTATTATTCTTGTGTTTGGTGAGAGGGTCAGTAAACTGATACCTGAAGTAACATTACTGCAATGGTTTCATTCTTACATTGGTCAGTGAGACTATTTTGTATTTTTTCTTTTATAAAGTCAATTAAAACTGTTCAGCTTTGTATCAAAGTATATGAATTAAGTTTATTATTTTTACTTTAATTGTGCTATTTATTATACTAAATTATGTTATGCAAATAAAATTGATTACTTATTGTAGAGTATTGATCACAAATTTTCCAGTTACAGTGTATGAGGGCCTATAATATAAATCTGCTAATTTCTTAAATCAATGATGTTGTGTATACATTAATAGTTGTTGTGAGTGTTTGTGCCCTTTGGCTTTAAGTGATATACAGTGAATGACAGTTAATCGCATTGTTGACAATAATAATCCATGTTACAGCACAATCATTAGTGTAGGAAAGGACTATAAGTAGCCTGGTTGTGTGACTGTCAGTCATTTTGTCTTTTATAATGTACATGTATAACATTTTAAATGTTTTTATTAGATTTATTGACACAATATCAGTTATTAAATGAAGCTGTTTATATTACCAAGAACTGTCCTCTTAAGCAAATAAAAGAAATTAGTCAGGTAAAAATGATGATTATTATGTTACTTAAAGATTATTTTCTCGTACTATAGAGTTCAACACTGTATAATATTGGGTGTGGTCGATGTAATAAGCCCATCCCACCTGCTAATATAATGTGTCAGAAATGTGAGGGTAGACTTAATATCTGCTCTGTGTGGTGAGTGAAGGACAATCATACTGTGTATCAGAAATGTGGCAGTAGTATTAGTAGTAATTGTAATAGAAATTAGAGTTTTTTTAGGATTTTGAGGAGTGGTATTTCTTGAATATTACCATGCAATATTATTTATTGGCGAGGAATTAATATTGGCAATTGGTGGTTCTATGAATAAATCGCCAATATAAAATCTGCCATTTTGTTTCAATCTGAGCATGCTCAATGGCATGGGGCACAAAATTGCCATTATAAAATCCACCAATACTTTCCACAGGTAAATTTGCCAAATATTATTCCCATCAATGAATCATCTTGTACGGTATATAATACTAGAAGAAAATATTTGATGCATATACATGTTCTTATGTTGACTAATTTGGATTTTTTATGAATTTTTAAGATTCTCAAAATTGGGCCAAAGTCGTCTTGATCATTGGCAAAATTTTATCAAAAATGTTAAGAAAAAATTATTCATTTTTATTACATTTCCTGATGCACATACATTACTTATGTAGTGTAGAAAGTTTGAGCTAATTCCAATCAAGTTTGGATTTTTTACAAAATTTTTTAATTTTTTCAAAAATTGGGCGTACTACATGTATATAGTACATGATCATTGGCCAAATTTTGTCAAAATTGGCAAGTAAAGAATTCTGCATTTTTGTTGCATTTTCTCTATGTATATACATGTACTTATGTTGCGTAGAGAGTTTGAGCTAATTCTGATCAAGTTTGGATTTTTTACAAATTTTTAATGTTTCTCAAAAATTGGACCAAAGTTGCTATATCATTGACCAAATCTTGTCAAAAATGAAAAGGAGAGAATTCTCAATTTTTATTACATTTTCTGATGCATTATTATGCATGTTCTTTTGATGCATATAAATTTTAAACTGATTACAATCAAAATTAGTTGTTCATGATTTTTTCCAAATTTACTAAAGTAAGAGGGGATACTAAAATTTAACGTTTTCATTAGTGCTGTAACTCTTTTGTTATTGCCTTTCTCTCTCTCTCTCTCTCCCTCTTAGTCATGCTCCTGTTAAAGGATTATACTCAATGTGTGAGGTGTGTGGTCATGGTGGCCACATGTCTCATTTGAAGGAATGGTTCAGTATTAACAGCTGGTGTCCATCTGGTTGTGGACATAACTGTGTAACATGAAAATTAACAAACATTGTGATTATAATGCTGTTAATTAATAGTGTTAAAGTAACTTGTGATATTAATTTTTACTATTATTTTTGTGCATAATTATTATTATTGAAATAATTATTAATTTACAAATTATTTTTCTTATTTACAGTACATCAGTATTGTCTCTTAAACCAGACAAAGGACCTGCCTGATCCCATTGTGGTCATGATGGTCACATACCCATGCATGCCTGATTTGACATTGAATGGTGCTGTCAACTCTCTTGAACTTAATTTTTATTTGAATAGAATTATTGAGTTTCTTTTTTAGAAGTGGTTGAGTGATTTCAAAAAGTGTTCCAAGTCATTCCTCATTGAAGGACTACCAGTTGATAAACTATGTGACCATAACTATCAGGTACAGTGTAGATTTTAGTGACACATACATTTACATGTACATGTACACAAATGTAATGTAATACCACTGTTTTAAATGAAAACTGTTTATGATTTCATTAGCCATGAGACAACTGTGCTTCAAATTCCTTTTTTGTGAATTCAGTTTTTACGTCTACATGTACATGTATATATATGTACATGCATAGCTGAACGGACCCTTTATTACATTGTATGCATATTGTAGGTATGTTTAGATCATGGTAAAGATGATGCTGCTCGTACATGGCTAATACTAAAGTCATTGTATTGTGGGATGGACCCACAAGTATCAACACTAGGACTGACCCCATTACAACTAGCAAGAGAACAAGAACAACCAGACTTTGGGAAGGCATGCAGTAAGTCAGAAAGTACAATTTAAGTACTCCTTATAGTACGAAGATATTCAATTTGTCTGTTGAATAATTCTTATTTTTTAGTGTCTGCAGGATATTTCAGAAAACAGGAATGGACACAGTCAAAGATGAAGGTATACTTGTGTACCAACATACGTACCCGTACATGTATCAGTATTACCCATATTACTTACTTACTTGTACTTGCATGTAGATTACCAGTATTATGAAGTATGGTTTGGTCAAAATAAGAAAGCCACTGTTTTGATTCAATTAAAATCATTGTTATAGTTTATGGCTCTTCTAGACTAATGCTACAATGTCAGTTTTATATTGCTATCAGTCTCAGGTAAGGGGTTGGGTACAAGATCATTTTATGTTTGCATGTGCCCAGCTCTTTTGCTAAAAATTAAATTTATAATTAATTAAAAATAAAAAGTGTCATAATTTTAATACTATCAAGAGTACATGTACATGTATATGTCCAATTAATACATTGTGATATTAAGTTTCACCCATATTAGTACAAATAACTAGTCAGCTAATAGCTCTATCACACAACTAAATGTAATTAATTAATATTTTGTTAATGTAGTGCATGATATCCAGATGATTCTTTGTTTCTTTTAATATTAATCCTTAAGCTTGTTCCTTCAATTTTGAACCATTGATTTATTTCATCAGCAGCTACATTTTCATCGAAAATATAAACACACAAACTGATAGAGGGAAATGCTTTTCTCAGCACTTTAGCACTTCCTTCCCTCAATTCAGCAGTGTCAATTTCTTTCATTGATATCTAGTAATGAAATTAAAATAATAGTTTTATTAAACAATTACAGGTACATATAACTAACAGTAGCTGGCATTTCATCACCATCATTTGGGAATGTAATCCATCCTGGAAAATTTTCTGTGTCAACTTTAAAGCTAGGTACAGTAAGAGAGATGTTATTGGACTCAAAAGCAAATGGATAGCATGAGTATTCAAGATCATCTTTTTTCTGGGCATGCTAAAATAGAAAAATGATAATAGTTTTGGAAGTTTTATTTATAAAAATGTACCTCTAAGTTAGCATTATGAAGCTTCATAAAAACAATATCCAGAGTCCAAAAGTTTTTGGATTTCCTCTCATAAGAGCATTGAGCAGCATATCTCACTGATGCTTTGTCCTCCCTAAAAGAATTACAAGTAGTAGCAAAATACTGTAGTAACAGAAAATGTGTAGTAATATACTTACATGTACATTGTTCTTTTGTACAGTATGCATAAGAGGCAACTGGTTTTTTGTTGAATTGATTCATTGAACTCTTGTACAGTTTTGAATCTTATCTTTTTATCCTTTAAGTCACAACTGCCAATGGCAAAGTACAGGTTTTGTGTAGTCTTGTCTGACTCATCAACACAATGCTCCAGCTTAATGGTTGCTGGTTGAGGTAGCTCTGGCATTGTGATATCATATACAGCACTTACAAGAGTATACCCATCAGGAAAAACAAATGGACCAGAGAAGAGAGTGCGAACTGTGACTGTAAATGTTTTACTTCCTTTTACTGGTACATGAATTTCATAGCCACAGCCAATATCATTTAGAATATTTCTGCCAGTTTGAACTTTATACTCAATTTCATTGATTGCATGACACATACCTAAAAATATCAGTTTTATAAATATTAACTTGCAGATTGTAGCATGTGCATGTGTACCACCTACCTTTGAGCAATGTTTCTATTGTGTCATATAACATCCTCACTGATTCATTGCTTGCAGTCTTTCCGGTTGGGTCATTTTTTGTTTTGTGTATGTGATAGCTATGATATGCAATCATGCCAATATCGATTGGTATTGTTACAGCTAATGAGGCTCCAGCTAAAGCCATTCCAGCAATTTGACCAGTAGTACGCAGAGCAGCTGCAGCTGTTTCTACTGTACTCCCTACCCCAAATACAATACCTACAGTTGCACCTCTAACAGTAGCTGCTACACCTTGTAAACCAATAGCTGAGGACTCTGGTACATGGGATATAGCTGATGTCATCATTTGATTATATTTATAGGCCTCTTCATTAATTATCAAACTGATCTGCTGATCAAGGTTGATATGCTCTTGTGCTTTTTTTAATGTTTTTTTATTAAGAACTTTTGAAGCAACAAAAGCACCAATCCCTGCACTAGCGGTAGCCGCCCCCACAACACCACCTAGTGCAGATATAGCAATAGAACCACCAAATGTGAATGGAGCCAGAGCTATTCCAGTAATAACTAGGCTGCCACCTACTACCATGCCTGAAACTGCAACTCCTAATCTGGCTTCACTTTCTTTACGTACTATTGACATGATTTCATTTTTGCTTCCTTCCATCTTGTCTATTGTCTTGTGACGGATTGGGTACCATATTGAATGATATACTTCCAACTTTTGTTCAAGAGTTTCCACACTAAAAATAATTTAACATTACTTTAACTTGATTATACTTAGTCCTACCTGTCATTAATTGATTTGACAATGAAAAATTTATCCCCGACCGTAGTGTCATGCCATATGCTTTTCACAGTAGTGCTATTATTATTAGCACATATTGTTTCAAAGCATTCTTGGACACTGGTGTGGCTCAGCTTTTCTGTGAAGTCTTTGAGTACAGGAGATGATGCTAAACTGTGTCTAGCAGCAAGAACTAGAGAATTTTTGGGGCAAATGTGTTGAGGCAAATTGAAATCATTCTCATTCTGTGTATCAGCTACTGTCAAATTACTCTCATTCTGTACCAGTACAGCATCAGATACAGAATCATTCACATATACCTCATTATGTGTGGAATCATTTTCATTTGGTTTGTCATCAGCTGCGAAACTTTTCTCTTTCTTTGTATCATCACTTGCTGAATCAAAAAAGAATATTACTGGTAGATATATAGAAAATTTTTCAAAAGGATCAAACACATCTTTATAAGGCACCATTACTCCATCAGCATCATCAAGCTCAGGTGTCTTCCCTTTACTAAGAAATACTAGAGCTATCATCGATAATTGTGAATGATCTGCTTCACTTATTGCTTCAAGCAAGGTAGCTATTGATTCTGAGGAGAGGCTGTTAAAGTAAAGAACAGCAAACTCAAGATCTTCAAAAGCTTTTTTGAGAGCTGCTGCTTCTTTATTAAGTATTCTTTTTTCATTCTCTAGATCTACCTTGAGCTCTCCACGATTATCAAGAATAACAGCTAATGCTATCTCTATAAGAATCAAAAAAATACAAATGCAAGTATTTAGCGTTTATCTTACTTTTGTTTAATTTTAATATTTGCTTGTGCTTTGCTGCACTGCAACATAAAGTGATAAGATCATGCCTCCAGTTGACACCAGAAAGAGCACTATCATGTTTGGAGATATGATACCCAGCTGGAAGGACTTCAAACTTGATCTTCTGGATTGCACCTTGATGCACTTCTGAATCATGTAACTGCAGGAGGTCATTGACAATTGTGTTTATTTTTTCTTTACGAAGTTGGACTCTACCAGTCAGTCGCTCTTTCCTCAGTTCTTCCCAAGCTTTCTTATTGCTTTCATCAGGTTCCTCATTTTCATCATCTTTGTCTCTTTCATCCCACATATCTAGTGTTTCCCTATTTGCAAAGGTTAGAACAAACACCACTCTCTCCCAAAATTTTCGGCCAAACACTTGATGGAGTTTCTTAATAGCAACTGCATCATCATTGGTGAATCGATGGTCTGTCATCTTCATGCAGTAGAGGACCAAACTGATCTCACTACACTCATTCTTCATTTCTTGAATGTATTTATGCTCTTTGTTTTGAGTATCTTGCAGACCAGGAGAATCGATTATTGTGACATTGACACCAGGAATGATGTTTGGATAGATGTAAGGCTGTGGTTTTATGGTACAGCGTGCACTTTTTGATCCTTCTGGTACAATTTTTTTCCCCAGCTCAATGAGACTATTGATCAGTGCAGACTTTCCTTGACCTGTTCTTCCAATCACTAGTATGTTGATATCTTTTGAAATTTTTTCTTCTTGGAGGAGCTCTTTGATAGTTCTCATTGCATTCGTGTCTAGTATGAGAAAGCAAGTAATTAGGGAATTGTATATGAACTATGTATTACCAATTTTTGATACATCAATAATCCTGTTTTTTGTTGAACCTGGTGGGATAGTTGCATCTACATAAATAATAGAACATAAAAAATTTAAAAAAACAAGGTTGAGTAGGATTCTATAGCAAATTCATAAAAAAGTAATGGAAACAAGGGCAAGTAGGATTCTGAATGACTGACTATCCATGCATACCAACAAAAAT